GGTGTTAATGCTCTCTGTCCTTCTTAAAGCAGAGAATGTCAGAAACCCAGACAAGTATCATTTGATCACACACTTATCTTGGTGCATTGTCACCAGTGAGTGTTCTGTAAGTGCTCCTTGGGTGGTGTTTTCAACACAAATGGTTATTTCAAAAAGAAGTATGTAATAGGAATGGTCACTGGTTTCAAGCAGGGGACCATTTGCAGTAATTATGTCTTCTTATTAAATATGTGATAGGCATCAGAGACACAAATTTCTTGTGCCTAATAACTACAAAGGATCTTTGATAATAAGCCCCAGCCTGCACTTTCAAAAGTTTCTATTTTAGTGGGAAAAAGGGAACACAAGCAAATCACTATCCTGAGAGACTTGAAAAATGGCTGAGTTGACTCGTTCAAATGGGACAGAATCTTAGATCTCTTATCTTTTGATGGCAGACAGAGGATGGAGGATTGGAGAAAAGTGTGGGAAATGAATCTTTAATTTTCCTGATGAGGTTATACAAATAACAACAGTAGACTTTACAATGAAAGTCAGAAATGTTAACCCAAGTGGACACTTGGAAGGCCAGTGTTTTTTCTTAAGTACCCTTGGGTTCTACAGTGTTCTTTCTTCCACACCATGGCATATCTTTCCTGTTCAAAGAGCTCCCTTTGGAATTAATAAAACATTCATTTAACTGTACCATAAGTCCTATATGTTTCCCAAACATGAGAAGACATGACTGAACAGATAGCTAGATGCCTAAGCAGAGTAAGAAGATATCTTGGAATTGAATTGCAATTGTAAATATTGTTTGTTATGATCAAAACTCCCACAAAACATCAATTAATTTTAGATAATTACTACTTGGAGACTACATAATTGCATGTTTCCCTCCAGAGTCACCTTGCCTTTGTGCAGAGTATTTAATTGGCATGCAGTTAACCTGAAAGGGAAGGGCACTTATAGTAGAATTAAGGACTGTAGCCATATGACATTCTAAATCGAAATATGTGAAGCCACTGAGATATTTAATCATAGTAGTTATTATATCTTTGGAATTAAATCCAGTAGGAGAAAAAAGTTTTAGTTTCAGGATTACATACGAGTCTCCCTTTTCAGAATGTAAAAGAGCTGTATGTGTGCAAATCAGAGGACCAGTCTTGAAGGTGAAAGAGTTTTCCATTCACCCTGGAATTGTGGAGACACCTAACTTGGGGGATTTACATAGAAAACTTGCCCAGCAGAATGCCCAATGTTCTCAACAGTGTAGTGGTCAAGACAGAGGCTCTGGGACCAAATCCTATGGGCCTGAAACTTTGCCTTTTCACTTATTTGCTGAGCAAACTACCTCCTTTTTCAACTTTAGTTTCATCACCTATAAAATGGGAATAATAACAGTAAAATGGAAATTATAAAATATCTGCTTGGGAGCATTGGTAGGGATTTTTATGACCTAAATTATGTAAAATGTTTAGCATAGTGTCTTATATTTGGTAAATGTTTGAAAAATGTTTATTGTATTTAGTTTTGCGATGGTGATTTCTTCCCTAAGACATATACTGTAAGATATAAACTAACTCAAATTTTGCTTCAGTTGTGCTCTCTCATTCTCCATTCAAAGAAATTTAGTTTGAATTAGCCACATATGCATTATGCATTATAATGATCCTTAACTAGAATGACATGTTTTAAAAGCAGTTTTATCTTTGCATTTTTTGATAATTTAAATATGTAACAAAGTGCATCTACTATGTCCACCATAAAAATATTCATTGAAAGGCTCCATTTAAAAAGCACAAGGTAGGGGCACCTGGGTGGCTCAATTGGTTTAGTGTCTGGCTTCAGCTCAGGTCGTGATTCCCAGGGCTCATGATTCCGTGTTGGGGTCTGTGCTGATAGCTCTGAGCCTGCAGCCTGTTTCTGATTCTGTCTCTGTCTCTCTCTCTGCTCTCAAAAATAAATAAACATTAAACAAATAAAGATAAAATAAAAAGTACAAGGTAAGGGCACCTGGGTGGCTCAGTTGGTTAAGCATCTGACTCTTGATTTCAGCTCAGGTCATAATCTCACGGTTTGTGAGTTCAAGCCCTGCCTTGGGCCTGTGCTGATAGTGTGGAGCCTGATTGGGATTCTCTCTCTCTCTCTCTCTCTCTCTCTCTCTCTCTCTGTTTTTGTTCCTCCCCCACTTATGCTCTCTATCTCAAAATAAATAAATAAGCTTTAAAAATGTACAAGGTAAATTTTTTTTTGATCATTAAAATTGTTCAAAGTCTGTTCAAGGGTTCCTTTGTCAAATTCTATGTGCAAGATTCTATTTGAGTAGTTTGGATTTAAATTTCTGTCACCTTTTAAAAGGCAACATTCTACATCCATTAAAGTATATATTTTATTGGACATTCCTATCCAAATTTAATGAGAATTTCTTTTTTTGAATTTTTCAGGTCTATATATATGGAACAAACAGGTGGTAGGATAATCTCCTATCACCCTTATATTTATTATTGCCTAATAAGAAAGTTCACAGTAATCACAGGACTATGAGCAAGTCCTTGCTTGTCTGGACAGAGTTAAATGTCATGATGATATGCATCTGCAGTTACCAATGCTTGTACAAACCTGGTGTCTTAACATTATGTCAAGAATCCATGTAGGTACGAATGGTCTTCTATAGACTAGAGAACAATTCACAAGGGCACAAAGTGAGGCTGTATTCTACCCCTTTTTTATTATTTTTTGAAGTTATTTATAATTATTAGACTTCTGGGAGATATGGAAGCATGACCATACATCATAAAGTAGTTGGTATGGTTTAATTGTCATGCACCAGGAAAGGCTTCAATAAATGACTGGTCCTATTAACTCACTGTTTCTAAAGGAATGGTATAAGGTCTACTGTCATATTTCCTGGGATCTAAGATGCTGTTAATTGTAAATATCACTGAATATTTAATAACAGGTTTTAAAAATAAATATTGTATTTGATGTTCCAACAAATAAAAGACCTTCTCACTTAAGAAACATTAACTAACATATGAGCAATCACGTAAATGTATTTTACAACTGATCAATGAGCAGATGGGGCTTGAGGAGTTCTTAAGGGCCTCTGGGAATACTGCTTGACAGACCCATGCCAAGAGGCCCTCTCTGCCCTGGAAAGTACTTACTTGGGTAGTTCTTTACTGCACTGATCACCAAGGTGAACTTAAAGGGGTGATCTGGATGCAAACATATTAAATGCTGAAGTTCTTTGTAGGGTTGGGGGCATTCCATGCCTCCCAGAGAACCTGAGTGGGTGGGGTGGGGATATACCAATGGTATACATTAATACAAATTATAAAAATCTTACATTTAAGCTTAGATAATAATAAAATTAACACTCACAAACTAGAGTAAAATAGAGTAAACTTTGAAAAAACTTCTATTTTTTTTATGTCTCAAGTGGGGAATATCAGTAGAGAAGACTGTGGTAGAAATACAAAAGTGAAAGAGAAAGTATTAAGAAAGATATGTAAAAGGTTGGAAAATGTGGAATCATATTTGTGATAAAAAATCTACTGAACTGGAGCAGAGAAATATAAGGTTTGGTACATAAAAATAAATACAAGACAGTGATTTTAAAAAACACAGGCCATTCAGTAAGACAAGATGCCAAAGAGAAATGTCCATATTTTGGAGATCACAATAGTAAGATAAATCGGAGTCAGCCAAATAAATCAAAGGCTGCCTGAGACTGTCTTATACAGCCGTGAAGACACCTGTTCCTATTAACGATATTATAATGAGAGAAATGACATAGAAATGAAGAAGATAGTCATTAGGGGTGAAATTACATAAGGCTGAGTTAGCTCTGCCTTCAGGGAAGGTTTCACAATTAGTCTGGGACACAGGGTGAGATTCCCAGGTCATCATCTTCACGTTGTGAAGACCATAGGACTAACTTTTCTCAGAGGCTTCTGTGCATTGCTTAGGTTATAAGGATTTGTGTCAGGTTGCTGTCATGATGGATTTTCTTGCCATGAGTAGCCATTAAGGCTTGCTGAATCCATTCAAAAAGATAGGTGTAGTCATAAGAGTGAGCAGCCAGATCTGTCTGAATTTAATCCTCTACTCCTTTCCCCATCCTCGACATCTGCAAAATAATTTTCACTAAGTTATGGTTTGACATTCTGTCTTGGTTTACACTGAGGAATGCTATACAAAATAAAATTTTAAAAACTAAAACCTATTAGGCATATACTATAGGGGTGATACTAAATAGATTGCCTTTTATATCCCCTAATGTCCCTTGTTTTAAGGCCTTTGGAAAAAAAAATCTTTGAACTTCTTTAAATTCTCCTTTTTACATGACAAAAAAGAAAAAAAAGAAAGGGAGAGAGAGAGTCACGTATCTAATTTTCTTTCTCCATTTTTTAGAAGCTACCCAGATGCTTGGAGACAAAATTTTAGCTCAATTTTAATAATAGCATAGAATATATATGCAAGTCTAATCTTTCTTTTGGTTTTGATATTCTATCATAATTTATAATTTCCCACACCCTGATTTTTTTACTTATTCCTATTTTAGTGGAAGTAATCTTGAGAACTGTTTCAAATAATCTGTAACAAGGCCTATTATACATAAATATGAACAATAAAGTATATATAAGAAATTAAATACATTTTGTTTTTGCTTTTTCAATTTTAGTTTTGTTTGGTTTAGTGCGATCTGATATGGTGAATTGTTAATGTGTTAGTTACACAAACACACGCACACACACACACAAAATGTGTGTACCAGAAAAGTAGGAAGTGGGATGTTAGAAAGACAGAAACACTAGCAGGTAATAATGTCTGCTTGATGGGATGAATAAAATTTTGGTAATGTAGTGCAATTTTAAAGTTATTTATGGGATTATATAGTTGATTACTTTTGTGTCTTGCTCCTCTTGGACCTTAAAAGTGTTTTCACTGGCTACATAGCATGTTATTCCTTGTTAATATAATCACCTCTGTGAATTAATCTCTCTTTTTCATAGGGGAAATGAAACTTCTAGCTAAGATCTCCAAAATAAACCTTGATGGATCATGAAAAAAGGATGAATCATGAGGAAGGGGACCTCTATATTTCTTACCAGCTCTGAGAAAGGTAGTATCCCAATAAATATGAAGGTCCGGGGTAAAAAAAAAAAAAAAAAAGCCATAAATATATATTACTCAAACAATTCTCAGTTAAATGCTTTATGGAGTCTTTTCAGGTTAAATGGAATTTTGGGGGCCCATGCTCTTATTCAAAGAGTGGCCAGGTGGCTCACCCGCTGTCTCACAGTGTGCTGGTGACAGGACTGAGAGACTGCATTCAGGCCCATGTTCTTGTCATTTCACCCCTAAACCAAACATGGGAGACACTACACTTCTAACTTTGGAAGTGATAATCATTCTCTTTATGTGGGCCTGTGTAAATGTTCTTAGGGACTTGGAAAATAAAACTGAATTTGAATTTTGTGTCTATTTGGATAATTTAAGGTTTATCTGACTCATCCTTATGATAAAGTTTTTCAAAGAATGTATATTTTATGGAGATTTCTGACTGATGAAATATTCAGCTGTTTTTAAGTCAGTAAACATCACTCTTAGTCACTAGCATAGAGTTAAGAAAATGGACTTTGGAGCCAGACAGATTAAACTTGAATCCTGATTCCTCCATTTAGTAGCTGTGTGACCTCGGTCAAGTTTCTTAACCTGTCTGTACATCAGTGTCTTCATCTGTATAATAAAGATCATATTAGGAACTACCTAATTTCATGAATTAATACTCATGAGTTAATTACTCATTAAATGAGTTAATACATAAGGACTTCAAATAGTACCTGGCACAAAATAAGCAGTCAGTAAACATTGGCTTTTATTTCTCTGCTTTGTTTTTCTACTTTTGATTTTTAGATTGATATATGCACAGATTCCCACATGTTTTACTATCTTTGAATAGAAAATATGGTATATAAGAGAATATGAGTGAGCAAAAAACCATTCAAAGGAACATAAAGGTCATCTAATTTGAGGAAATATTCAATTCATAAAGGTCTACCATAGCATTCTACCAAGTGTTCATTCTAATTGTGCTTAAACTTTAAAAGGTGACGAATTCACCTCTTCCTGAGGCAGTCCATTCCATGTGGACAATTTTATTACAAAGTTACCCATGTATTGAACTGAAATCTATCTTTCTCTAGCTTCCATTGGTTCTAGTTGTTTACTTTAGAATGGCACAAAGAAAATTTAACTCTCCTTTCAAATGGCAGCCTCTACTAAGTATTTGAAGGGAGCTTTCACTTGATACCAACTCCTCCCATTTTCTTCCTTAAAGACAAATGAATGGTTGAGACACATGATTTCAAATGTTCTTCCTCTCTCTCTCTCTCTCTCTCTCTCTCTCTCTCTCTGTGCTCCTTCCCCCAACATTATCTCATCTATAATAGTTTTTATCAAAAATTGATACATACAATTTTTGCCCTGATTGTGTTCCAGGATCCAAAGTCCCTTGCATGTTTTCTAGATGGTGATTGATGGAAAAATAAGTTAATTCTGTAGGGAACTTTCCTTTTTGCAGAGAACCTCATCAACTGCATAGACCCTTTTGAAAATGGTGACATATAATCTAAAACATCTGATGCGTGTAAGACATTAGAAACATGGGATCAACTTTTGGCCTCAATGTCAAAGAAATGGAAATATTAACACACAAGTCTCTTCATCCATTGATTGTGAACTTGATAACTTTATCTCTCTTGAGGTCCCTTAAAAATCTGAATTTTTGCTATTTTGATTTCTCTTACCATCATTAGATACAGGTCAGAAAGAATTTCGGTTGGCCAAGTATGTGTATCCCCTCATGCAGTCAATGGATTATAATATCAGAAGTTTGGGCCACACTTTTATTGTAATGAAGGATGTTAATACTTAACTCATCCGTGTTTTAGTGTGCAAGTTATTTTAAATAAGATGTGTGTAGTGCTTAGTATAATGCCTGACAAAAAGTAGTTACTTAGTAAATGAAAAGTAATGGGACTGATAAATTTTTAGTACAAAAGGAAACCCCATTATATACTAGTTTTTGTAATGTTCTAGACATTACAAAATATTTCAGAACTCTTCCTGAGTATGGTATATTATACAAGAAGCCCGAAATGTAGAAGTCCTCTGTTATTCCCAATCGTTTATATTATGGAATTCCACTTTCCAGAAATAGTCATTGTTGATGATTTGGTATGTATTCTGTCCTTCCAAACATTTTGTTTTATTAAACAGGTGTATGGATATGTATATTCACAACATGAATAGTTATACATATAAATGACTACATATATATGTGTTTTTTTTTACAAGTGGAATCGTGTTATATATCATTTTGCAATCCCCTTTATTCACTTAATACACCATGGATGTGTGTCCATGGCTAAAAATTGACACACCTCACTTTTTTAATAGCCACACAGTGCTCTATTGCATGGATGTACTGTGCTTTATTTAATAATCCCTTAAGGACAGATATTTAGAATGTGTCCATTGACTTGCTAATGTAGTAATTCAACAAAAAACATCCTGGACAAATATTTTTGCACACTTAGATAAGCCTTGAGGCCATAGTCTTTAAAGTGGAATTACTAGGTCAAAGGGCAAATATGTTCAAATTTAAATAGTTATTGCCAAATTGACCTTCAAAAATTTGTACCAAAGAGCACTTTCACTCCCAGTGCATTAATTTCTTCTTTCATTCAACAGAAAAGTTTCTATTATTCCCACACTGTCACCAGTATGTGCATTATCAGGTTTTAAAATTTTTTTTGCCCATTTGGTTAGTGAAAAATGATAGACTACTGATGTTTTAATTTGCATTCTAAAACTATGAGTCAAACTGAGCATCTTAAGCTTGTTGGCTATTTGTATTTCTTTTTCTGTGAACCCGCCAGACAAATTCATTGTCTATTGTTCTATCAGATTGCCAATCTTTTTCTTATTGATTTAAAAGTCATTACCATATTAGGGCTCTGTTGCAAAATTTGTCTCCTAGTTGGTTGTTTAGAGGGAGGTCACCCATTTGATGATTATTTGATTATATGAAGCAGCATTGCTACCATGGAAAGAGTGCTGGACTTAGGGTGTGAATGAGTCAGTTCTTGTTCTGGCTCTGTCACTTGTTCCATGACCTTGTTTTTTTTCATCTGAAAAATGGGGATAACTAACACCTGCCTGTCACTAAATGTGATAATGTACATGAAGACATTTAGTGGACTCTAAAGTGCTCTGCAGATATCATATGTTGTTATTTTTATATCTTTGGAAAGATTCATGTGAGAAAAGAAAAGATTTTTGCCTTTAATCCTTAAACTCTGGTTTCTTGCTTCATGAGGCCAAAGCCAACCTCTTTACATATGGCAAATTTAAAAGTATTGACTTCAGATTAAGGACAAGTTGTATTAAGTTCTTTCTACTCTGTATTGGTCAGGTCTCATCTGGAAAGCTGAGCTGGTGTCTGGGGACTGTGCTCTAAAGACAGTGCTGTTGTTCTGGCCAGCACTGGGTGAGAAGGTGCCAGGAAGTAAAGGGCCTGGAAACCACATTATTAAAGCCTAGGAAAGCTTATTTTGGAAAAAGGTAAATTACAAATATTTAATATTTTTCTTTAACATTTGAAAGGCTGCCCTGGGATAAGGAATAGACTTGGTTTTCATTGTTCCACAGAGGAGATCTAGTACTTCTAGTCCTCAATTTGGGATCTTTATAAGGTGTAGCAATTCCAGTTCTTTGACAATGGAACAGGGTATCTCAAAATAGTGATCTTCTCATTAATGAATGTATTCAAGCAGAAGTAGAATGTCAGGAAATGTTGTAGCAGGGATTTCTGAGTGAGAAGACAGTCATTTCTTTTTTTAAAAAAATATTTTTTTAACGTTTATTTATTTTTTGAGAGACAGAGAATGAGCAGGGGAGGTGCAGAGAAAGGGAGACACAGAATCAGAAGTAGGCTCCAGGCTCTGAGCTGTCAGCACAGAGCCCGATGTGGGGCTCAAACTCACGAACCATGAGATAATGACCTGGGCTGAAGTCGGTTGCTTAACCAACTGAGCCACCCAGGCACCCTGAGAAGACAGTCATTTCTGAGGCCCATCTGTATTGTCTGTCATATGGGTATCTTTTCCACTCAATTATATTCATTTTCCTTTATAATTTTTGAGGAAATGCCATTTGCCTCATACTGAGTTCAGTATTGTAAGCAATATAGAAGCATAAGATTTGATCAAGGAGTTATTCTTTTAAAGGAAACTAATTGTGGAAGGGTAGAGAGAGGATTGAACTAGAATCAGAACATTTCAAAAGCATTTCAAAGATTTCAAAAGATTTCATGACATCCATTTCCACTGTCACTATTATCCTAGAGCCTTTTTGTTGATTTTCTTTCCTTCACTCTTATATTCCCCTTATTCTTTCCTTTATTTTTCTTTCCTATCTGGATCATTGTGAATGCCCTTCCTCTCTCCCTTCCTCCCTCCCTTCCTTCCTTCCTTCCTTCCTTCCTTCCTTCCTTCCTTCCTTCCTTCCATTTTATATGAGGACTTCTAGTTTTGCTTCAAATCAATGTTACTAAGATTCATCTATATTTTTGAGTATAGCTGCAGTTCATTCATTTTCCATTGTTGTATAATATTTCATTATGTGAATATACTACAATTTAGTTTTTCATTTTCCTGTTAAAAAGCATTTAATTATGTTTTAAGCATTTTGCTTTATGGACAAATACTGTTGTATGTACCTGCTGATATTCATGTGCAAGGGTTTCTCTAGGATTTATACTGTAAGTGGAAATGCTGAGTCAGAGGGTATATGTATGTTTGCCTTTGCAGAGTAAAGCTAAATTGTTTTACAAAATGTCTGTATCTTTGGCTATATTAAAGTAGCCTCCTTTATAATAATTTACCATGCTAAAATATATTTTCTTACATTACCTTATCCACATACCCAAGGACCCATAATAGCTTTCTGACCAAAGGACTCTCTTATATATATATTTTATGAAATTTATTGTCAAACTGGTTTCCATAAAACACCCAGTGCTCATCCCAACAGGTGCCCTCCTCAATGCCCATCACCCACTTTCCCCTCCCTCCCACCCCCCATCAACCCTCAGTTTGTTCTCAGTATTTAAGAGTCTCTTATGGTTTGCCTCCTTCCCTCTCTGTAACTTCCCCCCCTCCCCCCTGGTTCTGATCAAAGGACTCTCAATAGTACATTCAAAATTCTCCATTGACTGGCAATCTTTTGCCCATTCACAGTCATCTCTTATGGTCCCCCATAAGGATGACTTCATTCTAACCAGGCCTGTGGCTTTATCATCTCTTTTCCCGCTTTTCCTGTCTCATCTTTTCTTCTACCTCCTTGTCAATCTTAGTCTACTTATAGCAGAGGTTTAAGAACACAAACTCTGGAGCTTGAATTTCTGCTTCACCACTGCTAGCTGAGAGACCTTATTCATATCTGTGTCTCAGTTTCCCTCCCTATCTGTGAATTGGGGATAATAATAGGACTTACCCCAGATTGTTGCTGTAAGAATTAAATGAATTAACATTCATAAAATTTTTAGAACAGTAGATGTTATATAAGTATCTGATATTTTTATTATTATTCCAGTATAGGCTCTTATCTTTTTCTAGAAGTATTTTCTGACAAACTAATTTTACATTGTGCTGCATTTCATAAATAATGCATCATTGGTATCTTGCTTGAGAGCAGAAACCATATTGGTACAATTTCCTTTCTAAGTGTCTAGTTCAAGTTGGGCTTGCTGATTAATAAAATGCAATAAAATAATCTATGGGAATCAGATTCCCAAGTTTTCATAGTCTTGATACCACTATCAAAGAGCAGCTTTCTCATGTGTAAAACTCCACTTGGCTACTAATTTCATTGCTATGACACTAACTTATGACTCTAACCTTAACACTAAGCCTAAATAATTCACTTTGGAACCTAAATTCTAAAGGTATAATTGGGACATAGGGTAAGGAAAGAGTCCCCCAAACACAAAAGTCTGGGATTTGCCCATTTTCCTAACCCTGTACAGAGTTCCAAATTCTGCAGACTGGATTAGATTGCAGGAGCTGTGTGTGTTTTTCTAGAGAATTACTCTGGTGAATTGGTGAAACAACACAAGGTCTTGGAGCAGACCTGAATGATGCACCTTGCTGTACTCCCAAAGATGGACACTGTACCCCAAATGTCCATTCTCCAGCATCATGCCCCAAGCAGGTGCTCCATTTGCCATTCACTTGGTGGGATGTGCTCCCAATGGCACTACCATTTCTGAGCTTATGGACCAACATTGGTTGTCATGGCTACAGGTTGCTGGACAGCTCACTTAATCTTTAAAGATAGGTCTTCTTTGATTGCATGCTATAACATTATTCTTGCAAGTGCCATTTTTCTGAAGGACTTCTGGAGCAATAGAAAAAGCCATAAATTGCTTTCCATTGCTGGGAAAAAATCATGTATCTGTTTGAGTATACAGGCATCTTCAGAGGGCTGTTTGTGATTGTAGCATTTTTAGACTCAATAGAGCCACATAATAAAGCAAACTCTCTCTAAGCATTAGAGTGTCCGCTCTCTCTAGTTTGAAGCACACAGATGAAGATAAAGATACACTGGAGAGGAAAATGTTTCTCCCAGAGAAGCAGAACAGAGAGTGTGAAGTGCTAAAGACCCAGAAAAGGGATAATGATTAGAATTTCAGGTATTCTTGAGCTATTGGATCAATTCAAAATGCATGAGTTTTTCAGTTTTTTACAAGAATGCTATAAATGAAAAAAATTGTCATGCCGGTTTACATTTGAATATTGCTGACTTGTAGTTTTAACAAAGCCATTCATATTGTCATGAATTGGAGATGGCCCAAATCTGCATTGTGTATAAATCTTTCCATCTGTTAAATTCTTAAATTCAGTTTTTGAGTGTCTGATATTAAAACATTAACAAAATTATTATATTCCTATTTGGTATACATGTAGTTTAAGAAAAAGGAATTATTTATATCTTTAAAAAGTTGAGAAAGAGAAAACACTTTGAATATATAGGTAATGTTTATAAATAAGTATGTTTGAAGTGCGACAAACTTGCTTCTCCATAATTAGTGAGCCGGGTTGTTACAAATTTGGGAAAAGAGGGAGAAAAATATTTCTCCTTACAGAAGTGGTGGTTGGAATTTTCTGTTTGTATTAGAAAGAAAGAATACTTCAACCTAAGAAATGTGATGTCGTCCTTCATCTTTTTTTTTTTTAAACTAACCTTTTGGCCCATTTAGGAATTAAAATAATGTATAGCCTTCTCCGGTTGTAAGAGGATTGGCAAATAACATGCTTAGGATGAAGAGATCAGGATGACTATTCTTTAATCTGAACAAGTAATTTATAGGATTATGGAAAAATCCAGGTTCTTGACTATCCCCACTTCAGAGAAAGACATAATTAAATTACAAGACAGAAAAAAGAGCCATGAATCGGCTACATTCTGTAATCACTCAATAAGTTTCAATGATTATTGAAAGCAGGTTAATGCAAAACTCAGCTGTTTGTCTTTGATATACATGAGAATTCTTTGGACATTTCATCTAAATCACTTTGAAACACCTAGCAGCTTGGTACTATAATGCGAACAGACCCATTCTTATAAATCTGGTAGTGGTATCCATTCTTTAAAAGGTACACCACATTGCTATAGGCCAAAGGCTCTTTTATGTCATTATATAACAATGACAACAACTCAATTTAAGTGTATAATGACCCAAGCCAGCCATCCATAGCAGCAAAAATTTAATAGCAACCTTATCTGGAATGCTGACAAGGAGCACTTCCCAAGAAACCATTACAGCCTCTTTAGTTTACAAAACAATTGGCTTTAATCTTTAATACTGCTAAGCAGTAGGGGGCAGATAGGCACATTAGCATAGCTTTACTTTTTATAAATAGCATTTAATACACTATATTCAGATACTGTAGGACTAAGCATCTTATGTCAGTTTTAGACTTGAGCAAATAGTACAAGGATTTCTTTTTTCTTGAAAGCCAAGATATGATGCTTGCATTCTCACAATGGGGCTTAGGAGGGCTTGTATATCAATGAAGTTTGAAGGCAAAACCTTGAACATGTGTCCTTAGGGAAATGTGAGGATCCTTGACATGAATTTAAGTTACAATAAGAAGAAAACCATTAAGAGGAAATTTTCTCAGTTCACTGTAGAAACATTAGCTTCATTAAGCTCATAGACTTTTGCTTGGAGCATAAAGTCACACTCTAGCCTCACCATGATAGCATTTCATCTGCTCTATGGTTTTTCATTTTTAAAAAAATTCTTTTACTATTTCATGAGAGAAACCCATGTGTGAATTGCAGATACTCTCTTTCTTAAGGAAGCAAATATATTTTTTATTGTTGCAGTATGTCTTTGGTTATCACGGAAGAAAAGGCTTACTTAATGAGATTGTTAAAACTGAAGACTGGGCTCAGCCTCTTACTGGGGTGCTCATATTCAGCACATGCCGGGTCGTACTGCAAAGCACACCATACACATAGCACACACCTTCCTGGAACATCAGGTTTCCTTGATG